TAATGACATACAGTAATAGTATGTATGAGTATTGAAAAAAAAAACCAAGAAGCAGGAAGGAAAATAAATAGAGGATAAGAGCATTGAAGGAAGGACCTCAGGGTTAATTCGAGTGAGGACAATGTTGCGGTGCATCAACCTTATAACTGGACGAAGGAGGGGGTCCTGGCTGCCAGGGAGCACTGGGACTTGCTCGCTCAGCGCAGAGACAGACTTGCCATTGTCCAGAAGGACAGTATCATTCTCTATGAACTGTTTCAACATGTTCTTGTCCTCTATATACCGCTTGATCTCTGCTGACATTCCAGAAATCCTGAAAGGGTCATCCTCGGCATCAATTCTGCGGGAGAGTGTCTCAATCCTGTCCTCAAAAGATTTCATGGTGTTGGCGACAATAAGGGTCTCGTCGAGATCAAACACAATAGAAAGGCACCTAAGATTGAGCATCCTCAAACAGGGGTCATAGAGACCAGGGTGGACCGAGAAGCACCAGAAGCATGGTAGAGTATTGTCCAAATGGCTCCGCATCGCGACTAAATGCAGTTCTTCAGATCCATTCAACACAACTGCGGACTGGATGGGGGAATATTATACATACAAGTAATCTAATTTTGGGGCATATGCTGAAAAAGAAAAAAGGGGGGAAAAGGGGGGGGGGAATGAAAAAAAAAAGAAGTAAAAAAGAGTAGAGCATAGAAAAGTTACCCTGAATTTATCGAAGCAAGTAGAGTGGAGGAGATTGATGGGAGAATCCGGGGTGGGCGATTTGGCCTGGATTTTGCATCTGACGGAGGAAGGGGATGATATTGTTTGGAGGACTGAGAGGGGAGGCAGTCGGTCCCCAGGAGGAGACAGGTGACTAATCCTTAATATCTTATTATTATTACTACTACTACTACTGCTGCTAATAAGAAGAAGATTGTTTGGGAAAAGGCTGTGCTGGTTTTTAATCGGAAATACCTCAACCTCGCCGAGACAAGTATCTCCATGGTAGATCACCAACGCCCCCACGGATCCCTTATTGCCGCCATTACTATTACTAGTACTACTATTCCCTTGAGGAGATGCTGGAGATTGACGGGTCATCGTTTAGCAATTCCAGTCAAAAACTCAAATCTTGACGATCGATCGATCGATCGAGCGGGATTAGTAGACAACAAGGCGGGGGGAGAGAGGGAGAGAGAGAGAGAGAGAGAGAGAGAGAGAGAGAGAGGCTAAGAAATTTTAGGGCTGAGGAGGGCGTCTTGAATTGAACTATGAGAAATTTTGGGAAATTAGGGCTTCAATTATATAATACAAGGGGGAGAGAAAGAGAAGAGGGGGAGAAAGGAAGGCGTGAGAACAGACGGAAGATACAACCGCAAACCCTCCTCAAATCTCAATGCGTCATCATCGTGTGGGAGAGACGATACACCAAAAGAATAGCTTTTCCGCTCCGGACCTGGTCGAACGGAGGCCCTTGGGTAGGAACGTACTCTCTACTCCCTCGTCAAATAACTCCCCTGGTCTGGTCCGGTCCGGTCTCGTCTACCATGATAATATTGTAGGCATTCAAAAATACCAACCTTCAAAATATGAAGATGGTTGTCAAGAAAACAAACCTCGTCTTAATTCGAGACAAGGCTCGTTGTTTAGTGAGGACCCACTTCAGGAACGAGGGTCGCCACGCAACTTAACACCAAAAGACGAGGTTAGCTGCGTCGCGAAGCTCGATATCATAGTTCATCAATGAGCAAAGCTACTCTTGAAGATGACGTCCGTCATTGAAGACAGGGTTCTAAACTCGTCGTTGGATACGAGGTTCGAAACTCACCACCATACGTAAAGCTCATTAGTGAAGATGAGGATCGTCAAAAAGGAAATTCAGAAGACTTGCTATGTAGTTGGACTCAGTTGTCGAAAACGAAGTTCGTTAGTGAATATGAATATGAAGCTCGTCAGACGGCGTCAGTGAAGACAGTTCGCTATATTGCAAAGTTGGTTTTAGAAAACGAACATCGCTGCATATTGAGGCTCATTCAATCAGATAAACTTCATCATGCAGCGAGGCTCGTCGCCCACATGAGATCTGGATGTAACGGCTCCGAAGACTCAGTCAGCCACGTGGGCTAATCTTCAAGAGCACGTTACGGCGTGCGCTAAATTGGAGTAGGCAGTTACGCCCCTCTACCTGTGATCTTAGCACGTCGGTTACGTGCTTAAACCCTATAAATAGCCATGGATGACTTCGGAGAAAAGTGTTGGAGATTTTCGACTTGGACTTCAAGAAGCATCGGAGATCAGAGTTTTTACGTATAGATCCAGAGTTCGAACTTCAATTCTAGCCGGCTAACGAACGTGAGAAACTCCAGCAATCTTGTTCTGATCGTCAACGGGAGGCAATCTCGACTCAAGTATCGAGGAAAGCATCTTTTCGCCACCAAGAACCCACGTTAAACAAAGAGGATCAGAATTAATCTTCTCTTCATCTGTAATCGAGAGAGATTGTGAGTGATTGTAAGGGTTTCGTACCAAGTGATCGAACCCAGTTTTCTTAAAACAAGAGAATCAATCCCAGTCAATTTTTCGACCCTGTAGACGATGACGACCACAGTGGGAGCAGTCATTCATTCCGACGAGATGGTGGTGACGCAATCAAACAAGATTGCAGTGGGAACCGAGGTTGAGACACTGGTCATCGAGTTTGACCAGACCAAGTACGAGGAGTATATCTCCTCTGGAGCATCCAGTCCCACGAAGGCACATAAGTGTCGTCGAGTCTCGTATGAGACTTCAGCCCAAGTGGCTTCTGATGATTCAACTCGCGTTAACCTCGAGGAAAAGCCAATGCCCCTCAAAGAGGAGGCTCCAATAACTAGCCGTCAGGCTAAGAAATGGGTTATTAAGCAACCTAGCCGAACTTTGGCTTCTACTAGTCAAACTATGGCTCTTGATAACGAACCTCACCCAGTTTCGGCTGGGGCAAAAGTTCCAGTTGGTCCACTGTTAAGAAGCGCTCGACAACGTCAGCGTCAGAACCAAGCTCACCGTAGGGCTCGAGCTTTGGTCTCACTAGACGGTTTTCACTATCGACCGAAGGCTGACCAGCCTAAGGTTAACAAGTCTGACGAGGGTCAGGTGACTGAGGAACGTCAAAACGACAAACCTCATCCTCGTACCCGAGTAGACTCAGAGCATGAACCTCACCCCCAAAAAGAGGTTCAACAAATTTAACAAGCATTTCATACCAAGGTTCGTCAAGAAAACGAGCCTCGAGTTAAAAACCAACTGATGTGTCAAGCTCGTCTTATCAACGAACCTCGTCACATGAATGACGGAGTTTGTCAAACTACCCAAGGTCGTCAACCTCTATCATTCAGAGGGTCTCGCTTAGGTAAAATCAAGATGACGGAGTCAGCTGGGGGTTGTCCTGTGGGCGACCTTCGGGATTATCTCACACTATAGGCTGTCTAAAAATCACAAAAGATAGCTAATCCCCTATCAAACACCGATGATAGAAATTACAATCTGAAGACTTCCAGAAGGCTATAATTTAAAGACTTTCACGTAGATCGATGAAGGTTACAATCTGCCGACCTTCACAACAACTGATGAAAGCTCTAATCAACAGCCTTCACAATCAACATCGGGAGTTATAATCTGACGAGTCTCATATTTTCAAGGAGCCAAGATGAAGATTACAAGATGACAGTCTTTGTAACGCTCCAACAAAAGAGACCACAAATTGATGGTCTCTTCACATCAAAACGTAGAGGTCATCCTTGCGTTTCACCATCAAAACGCAATGGTCATCCCTGTGTTATAACATCAAAACGCAGAAGTCATACCCAACATTCAAGTCCAGACGCGGAGTTTGTGGACTCAAAACGCAGAGTTCATGCAGAGCCCAACTATGTGTCTCAGGTCAAAAACGCAGAGTTCATGCAGAGCCCAGCTCTGTGTCCCAGGTCCAGAACGCAGAGTTCATCTCTGCGTTTCAACGCAACACGACCTGTGTGTTCAGCCACCAAAATAGGCCCAACTCTGCGTTTTAAGTCTAAAATGCAGAGTTCGGGCCCTAAACGCTATTTTTCAGCGTTTGACTCGTTCAAAACACGAACTGAACGGTTTCAAAACTGTTTTCCCCACAATTTGGGAAGCTGTTTAAGGGGGCGGTTACACCTCATTCATCCCCCACTTAGGAGCGAATTAAGGGGGTGGTTATACCTCTTAATCCCTTATAAATAGAGAGAAACTCAATTGAGTTCGGGCTCGGTTTTTGGCTCTCGGATCGATCCTCTTTTCAGCAGCAAAGAAGAGATCAAAGGCTGGCTTTTGAGGAGATCGGCTGGAGAGAAATACTTGGCAACAAGGAGATCTTGAGGCATCCTTGAGCAACAGCAAATTCACTTGGCTATTAACCGATTTTTGGTTTAAATCAACTCTTTTTCAAGAGTTTAAACTCGCTCTGAGTTATCAACTCGTTCAGAGTTTCAAACTTGCCACGCAAGTTCTCCACAGTGTCAAATCGTGAGGAGAAGATATCGTTTCAGTGAATTAAGATGTTCGAATCGTCAACGGAGAGCAAACTCGACGCGAGCATTCGAGGGAGGCACTCCATCGCTACCGTGAAGAACCCAGGATTAAATAAAGGGGAGAATTCAGATCAATTCTCCTCTCTTTTGTAATCGGAATTCAAATTATAATTAAGATCGAGAGAGTACAAGTTAATTTTCTTTCATTTTATTTACTATAAATTTTCCACCAAACAAAAGATGACGACTCCGCTGGGAAAAGGCTTCCCTGACGAAGAGGTGGTGGCGCAATCCGACGTCATGCTTATTGGAACGACCGTTGAAACTCTGATCATCGAGTTCGATCAAGCTGAGTTTGAGGAGGCCCTCTCCTTCGGGTCCCTTAGCCCCAAGGCTATTTGTAAGATCCACAAAGTTTCTATGGAGACTAAAGCTCCAGTTATGGCCGACTCATCGAAGGACCATCTCCCTTGGGGGTTGCACTGTTCATACAGTCCCCTCTCTGAATGAGAAGACTTAGCTTCAGCACAACTCCAAAAAAGTCGATCCTCCAATCAACGCGAGCTCCGCGTTTGTGAGCCTCAACACGAGCTCTGCATAAGTCAAGCTAAACGCAGCCCTCAGGGGTGCGTTTCCCAAATAAAGCACAACCCTCAGAGGCGCGTTCCAACATCAAAATGCAGACCTCAAAACTACATTGATCTGGCAGAACACAATTCTCAGGAGTACGTCCTAGAACCAAAACGCAACTCTCAGGAGTGCGTTTCACAAACTGAACGCAACTCCCGAGTCTGCATTTCAGAACCAAAACGCAGACTTCAAGATTACGTTTCATCAGCAAAACGCAGACCTCAGGACTACATTTCACCAGCAAAACTTGGAGCTCAGGCATACGTTCGGGTGACGAAATCCAATACAAAACCTGGTATATACTGTGGAACTTCGGGGCGTTGCCCCGAACCCCGCCGGGGGGTAGTCCACCCCCTGGACCCCTGGCTCGCTAACCGGGCAGCGAGACCCCCGAATACTCTGTGTAGCACGACTAGATTGAGGGGCGGATATAAGAAGTCCATGGATTCAATGCATTTCAAGAAGATCCATGTTCATCAGGAGCCAGTCCCGTCCAATCATAGACTGGGGGTTCCAATTCAAACCTCGCGATCAGCAAGTAACTCTTCTCGAGTCTTTGAAATAGATTTGAGAGTGTTCATATCGAGAGAAAGACCGGTGTAACAAGTCATTCGTTCATTCCAATGTGAACGATTGATTCCTACGGTCCTCTCGGGATGTTGTTGGCCTTCTTGTTTTGATGATGTTTAACAAACAATTTACTTCTAATGTTGTTTGTCTAGTATTTGTGTTTTCTTATTTATTGTAGACAAACAACGTTGTTGGAGGATGGATGGAATAGAGCTTCAACGATCATATCCAAAGGAGGTTGGCGGAATTGTGGAGTGAAGCTTATGCAATTCAAGTTCAAGATCCAAGTTCAGCTTCATCCGCATAGTGTACCAAGTTGAGCTACATTGGAGATCAAGATCTAGCTTGGGTAATCTAAGCTTCATCCGCAAGTGTACCAAGTCAAGCTTAATTGAATATCAAGATTGCTTGGGTAATGTAGTTTAGGATTTATATTATGTGTGTTAAGTACTCTAAGCTCAATTATCTATACACACACAAGTTTTGGTTTATATATATATATATATATATATATATAATATATATATATATATATATATATATATATATATATATATATATATATATATATATATATATATATATATATATATATATATATATATATATATATATATATATATATATATATATATATATATATATATATATTATATATATGTTTTTGGTTTGATAGTTTTCAAGTTTTACTATGAAACAGTTGAATATAATTAGAAAACATATTTGTTGTTTCATATTCATATGCATATATATGATTTCATCAATATCAATTTAGTTAGTAAATGAAATCATGTTTTAGTGCATTATAT